ACAAAAGAAAAAGAATTTAATTTACATATAGGGGGTGGTTTCATCCCTTTAAACCGTTTTTTAGCATCAACTGATAATTTCTAAATTCATCTATTTATGTGACCTCAAAGTGTACCAAGTTTCATTAAAATCAGAATTTGACACTTCGCGAAGTTCCCTTGTGAGTGTGAGTTAAAGTAAAGTTTAGGACTGGCAAAGTCGTCATCTGTATCTTGTATATTCAAAGAGTGACCCAAAAAAATCGCCCGTTTTTTAGGCCCTCGCTTTTGAGACTGAACTGTGTGCCAAACCTTATAATGATACCTTACAATGAGACATTAATTATAGAGAACTTTCAAGTTGAGGTGACACTTGTTTTCAGAGCTGGAGGAGGGGGGAGGGATGAAATCAAAGTTCTTAGTTCATTATGGAATTATCACAGATCTGGTATTTTAAGAAAGTTGATCGCAGTTTTACATAATGACGCTCGTTTTGGGTGTAAAAAAAATTTAGTTTTCGCGTGAAGAAAAGTAACAAGTCAGACTCCCCTCCAGCTGTGATAACAATTGTCACCTCAACCTGGAAACGTCTCTGTGATTAATATCTCATTATTTAAGATACCATTTGGCACACAGTCCAGTCTCAAAATCGAGGGCCCAAAAAAATGGGTGAAAAAAACCACTTTTTCGAGTCATTCTTTGTCTACTCAGATTTTTAATGATTTTACTTGAAATAATTTACTTTGTTTCTCGATATACATTGCAATAAAATTCCTGCAATCTAATCCCTTCCTCCTTTTGCCAAGGCTTCGACAAAGGAATGAAATAACAGGCTTAACAAATCCCGAAAGCATTATACCTTCTGCAGAAGAGCGTAATCCAATCCCTTGACCAAGTGAGTGTGCTCCATGTCGCCGCCCAAGAATTTCGACTGCTGAATCATCTGTCTCCTGCGCTCCGCCGCGTCCATGCCGGACTTCAGATCCGGCGCGACAGCGCGGTAGGCGCTGGCGCTGTTCATGGGATCCTCCGCCTGGTAGTCCTGATTGGTGCCGTCCCTGCGCTCCCTCGCGCGATCCCTGTACTTCTCCGCGAGCTCGGCCATCTTATCCTCCTCCTGCTTCTTCAGCTTGGCGTAAAAGCTCTTCTTCTTCCTCCGCAGCTCCGCCCGGCTGCCCCCGCTGACCTGGGGCGTCTGGGCGGTCTTGGCGCTGGCATCCCTGGCTGTACCCGGCACGGAGGCCGGGGTGGCCGAGGGCACCGATGCCCTCGGCGTCATCAGGAGCTTCCGGAAATCGTCGTTCGTCAAGCGAACCGACATACCCATCTCTTCCTCCGTTTCTGGCATCTTGGCTGACTCTTTTTCCTGTTTTTTTTTGGAGGTTATGTTCCCCGGTTGGGAAACCTACGTGCCTTCAACCCAGTCCTCAGGGTTCTATGACGCTTCTCTTTTTTCCTGTGCCAAAAGCAAGGTTATGATCGGTCAAATTCTAGAAACAAGAAAATACGACTCTAAATAATAAACTTTTCTCTAAAAAGTAAAACGTTTACCTTTAATGTTGTTAAAAACTTAAAAAGTAAAACAATCTCAGCTGTACAATAATTAGAAACGTCAACCATGTATGTATCGAGGATCAGTAATCAGTATGTATATTATTTTAACTATTTACGGATGAATTATTTCAGAGACATCTTGCGGCGAAAGCTCAAAACTCTCGGACGCAGAGTCGTCAATGTAGAGTGCCACTCTATTTTAATTGAAGTATTTCGAAAACTGATTCACAAAAAATATTTCATACTGTGTGAGTCATCATGGCTGCGTTCCGCAAAGCGCATCATGCGCATGATGTATCATGGTATCCTTGTTGTTCACCAAATGTTAAACAAAGATAAAAAGATAAATCTTGCGCATGATGCGCTTTGCGGAACGCAACCATCATGTCTCATGTCTTTTTTGTTTTTGTCAACCTTAAAGCACGTGCATACGTAGGCGGTAGGATTTTCAAGAGGAGAATTTCGAGGGACACGAACCACCAGTCGCGGGTGACAATCCAAAAGTAAGAGCGAATTCACACCTTCACAGAAAAGCAAGAAACCAATCAGAACTCGCGCTGGTAATCGACAGTGGGGTGCGTTTCCATTGATTTTCAGTGCAGTATTAGTCGCCATATTGTTTTACTGGACAAGCGTTCCTTTTTTTCAATAAAAAAGTTTCAGTAAAAAAACATAACCTATAGAATATTCATAACTTCCAAATAGTGTTCAAATCCTAGGTTAGGTTTTTAATGAAAATTTCAAACTAAAACTTTCAATTGTTGCCATTGATTTTCAGTATAGCATTAGTTGCCATGTTGTTTTACTGGACAAGCGTTCTCTTTCTCCAGTAAAAAAGTTTCAGTAAAAAAAACAACCTATAGAATATCTATAACCTCCAAATCGTGTCCAAATCCTAGGTTATGTTTTTACTAAAAAAAATCTCAGACTGAAACTTCAGTAGTTTTCATTGATTTTCAGTGCAGTATTAGTCGCCATGTTGTTTTACTGGACAAGCGTTCCCTTTCTCCAATAAAAAAGTTTTAGTAAAAACATAACCTATAAGATATCCATAACCTCCAAATCGTGTCCAAATCTTAGGTTATGTTTTTACTGAAAATTTCAGACTGAAACTTTCAGTAGGTTTAGTTCGTTCAGTAAAAACATAACACCTAGAATTTGGTCACAGTTTGAAGGTTATGGATATTCTAGGTTATGTTTTTACCGAAACTTTTTTACTGGAGAAAGGGAACGCTTGTCCAGTAAAACAACATGGCGACTAAGAGCGAATTCACACCTTGACAGAAAAGCGGAAAACAGAAAAGCAGAAGCCAATCAGAACTCGCGTTGGTAGTCAATAGTTTTTGCTTTTTGCTTTTCTTGCTACCAGTGCGAGTTCTGATTGGCTTCTGCTTTTCTGTTTTCCGCTTTTCTGTCAAGATGTGAATTCGCGGGAGCGTCCCGTTTGACCACGTCCCGATTGACCACAGCCGCTCACAGCGGCCGGTGCCTAGAGATTTTCCACTGTTCAAGCGCTGTGAGTGGCTGGTGGTCAATCGGGACGTGGTCAATCGGGTATCACCCAAATTCGCCCTTATATTGAAAATTAATGGAATCGCACCCAGTTTCTATTTTTCTGCTTTTTTTCTTGCTATCAGCTCGAGCTCTCTGATTGGCTTTTGCTTTTCTGTCAAGATGTCAATTCTCCCTTAAGAGGATCCTAAACCCTAGATCAAACTTCAAAAATCCGTTGTTTTACCGACAATTTGTGAGTATGTATGCGTGCGATATTGATGTAGTAGTGTGTAGTGATGTGTCATGTTTATTACCACATCAATATATCTCACGCATACGTATACACAAATTTGTCGGTTACCAATATATCTTTATTTAGGCTTCTATACTTAATTCTAACGACTCACATATATTCATATCTTTTTTGTACATCTGGCTCTGCTTTCATTTCGAGCATATAACCTGCCTAACTTTTCCACGAAGTAAACGTTTGGGTAAATTGATAGCATTAGTCGCCATGTTGAGGTTAAAATAGATAACGAAATCTGTAATTATTTCATTTTTCCCCGTTTTTGGTACAAAATACATCAGAGCCAGATACATTAGCATATGTGTGTTTTAATCGTGGAAAAGGAAATTTTATTCTATGCGATTAATATGAATTATGAAGTAATTCATAACCAACAAAAATAGTATTTTTGTCGGTAAAACAGACGACTATAGACATCCTCTCAACCCTTTCAAGCATGGTGGCATTGTGAAATGCCATTTTTTCCATAACTATTTTCTGAATAATTGAAATAGTTTTCATTCAATTTTCGAACTTTTTTTTGTGTTTTGGTGCAGTTATACATTCAAGAATAAGAATCGATGCTCAATAATTCGAAATCATGGGTGACTTTGTTTATACAAATAAACAAACGTTGAAAAATAGCAATTTTTCTGGAAAAAATTCATTATCTCCGAAAGTTCTCAGAGTTTCCACGCAAAGATCTTCTCTCAAAAGTTTTTGGGGTCGCTGATTACGAATCCGTGGCCAGATTTCTAAAATTCAAAATGGCGGATCCAATATGGCGGACCCAATTCGAAAAACGATGCAAATTTTATGAAAATGTATATCTGGGGGTTCTCGGAGTCGCTGATTACGAATCCATGGCCAGATTTCTAAAATTCAAAATGGCGGATCCAATATGGCGGACTCAAATTCGAAAAACAATGCAAATTTTATAAAAATGTATATCTGGGGGTTCTCGGAGTCGCTGATTACGAATCCATGGCCAGATTTCTAAAATTCAAAATGGCGGATCTAATATGGCGGACCCGAATATACGTTTTCATAAAATTTGCATCGTCTTTCGAATTCGGATCCGCCATGTTGAATTCACCATGTTGAATCCGCCATTTTGAATTTCTAAATTTTGACCTCAGATTCGTAATCAGCAGCCTCGAGAACACTCGAGTACCAATTTTCAGGTCAATCGTAGGTAAGGAAAAATGTATGCCTGAAAGGGTTAACGATCGTTGCGGCTCCCGTCCGCCGCGCGCGCTGGCGTCGCTATTCCGCATCCCCGCGCCTCGCGAGAGAGGTGCATTGAGAGTCGAGCTTAAAAAAATTGCAAATTCTCATTACCCGTGGAAAGCCATGACATCGGAAAATATTATCGTGCACGCAGCAGCGGAGAAATGAGGCGAGCCGCGTCGTGACGTCTCGTGGGACCACTCGCGCGCACGACTCCGCTCCACCAGCCTCGCTGGAGGTTAACTCCCGCCGGGGACACACCTGCGTGATCCAAATGGTTACGGGCCCGCGTCGTTATAACCTGCGCCGCGTATGCGATCCCTACATCAGCTGATGAGCTCGATGTAACTGCGCGTAACACACGGACAGTGCCGGATCTCTTCGAGCACGTCTCGCAAATCCCGATCAGGATTCATCGGACATAGGAAAACGTGGCCGCGATGGCAGACCTCGCCTTGGGGGAGCTCAGCGGCGATCAGACCGAGAAAGTGCTACAATTTCAGGTATCCTGCCCTTTGTCTCGTTCCTTAATCTTAAGGTCACATTACGCGCGCGATTTATCTCTCTGTAATCGTGCGATATTCATCGCGAATGACGGTAACCACGTAATTGAAACCATCCGCAGGACCTCACCGGCATCGAGGATCTCTCGGTATGCAGGGACGTTTTGCAGAGGCACAATTGGAACTTGGAGGTGGCGGTTCAGGTATTCCATTTCTCTCCTCTACACGTTACGTGCTTCTCTCGATTTGTTCTCGCGGCGTTTTCACGACGTACTCCTTTCGCAAAAACATATTGAGCCGAAATGAGTAACCGAATAACGGTTACATCCCGTCTCTCTCTCTATTTGTGACAGGCAGCGTATTTATTTATCGTCGAATAATTTTCTATACTTATCGGTCAAGACAGACGCCTTAGCTTCGTTTCCACCAATGTAGATTAACCTTAATTCTCGGTTTAACTTATTTTGTATCTTTTTCCAGTTCTAGAAATTAGAGAAAGATAAACGGTGAATTAAACCGAGATTAAAATTAATCTACATTGGTAGAAATGGACATTGGTAAGCGCCGAAGGCGGACGAGGCTCCGTAGAATTTGTATCACTCAAACCTGCCGTCTGTGTTTGCAGGAGCAATTAAATTTGTACGAAGGCAGACCATCCATGTACGCACAAGACTCGCGTGCCCGCCCACCGCAGGTCGTAGATGACAGTAGTTCGAGAATTTATTTTAGTTACCCTGGAAGCTCCGGCGGTAGCGGCGGTCTCTTATCCTATATCTTTTCCATGTGTTATAATCTAGTGAGCAGTATCCTGCAGCTACTTTTTGCAATATTTAAGAGAAACGTTAGACCTGGTGAGTAGTGCCTGGCATACAATAGTAAACAGTCTGTTTTGTTTCGAGTCAATTCCTTGAGAATCAATTAAAAAAAACGTTTGCACAGGATATTCTGTGAATGTACACAAAATTAATTTTTTTGAAAAGTAAATCTTTCTACGCTATTTACATTCAAATCTTACAAGAATAATCTACTGATTGTAAATTGATTAAGATTAATTTTGACAGTTATTGTATTATCTTTGCGATCGCATTACAATAATAAACAGTCTATTTTATTTCGAGTCAATTCCTTAAGAATCAATAAAAAAACTTTTAAGGATATTTTATAAATGTACACAAAATAATTTTTTTTAAAAGTAAATCTTTCTGTGCTATTTAGATTCAAATCTTACAAGATAATAATCTATCGATTGCAAATTAATTTTGAAAATTTTTTTCAAATTAATTTTGACAGTTATTGTTTTATCTTTGCGATTGCATTACAATAATAAACAGTCTATTTGATTTTGAGTCAATTCCTTAAGAATCAATTTAAAAAACGTTTATTTTAAGGATATTTTATTTATAAATGTACACAAAATAATTTTTTTGAAAAGTAAATCTTTCTATGCTATTTAGATTCAAATCTTACACGATAATAATTTACCTATTGCAAATTGATTAAGATTAATTTTGAGTTATTGTATTATCTTTGCGATCACATTACAATAATAAACAGTCTATTTTATTTTGAGTCAATTCCTTAAGAATCAATAAAAAAACATTTATTTTATAAGGATATTTTATAAATGTACACAAAATAATTTTTTTGAAAAGTAAATCTTTCTATGCTATTTAAATTCAAATCTTACACGATAATAATCTACCGATTGCAAATTGATTAAAATTAATTTTGATAGTTATTGTATTATCTTTGCGATCAAATTACAATAATAAACAGTCTGTTTTGTTTCGAGTCAATTCCTTAAGAATCAATAAAAAAAAACGTTATTTTAAGAATATTTTATAAATGTACACAAAATAATTTTTTTGAAAAGTAAATCTTTCTATGCTATTTACATTCAAATCTTACAAGAATAATCTACTGATTGCAAATTGATTAAAATTAATTTTGACAGTTATTGTATTATCTTTGCGATCACATTACAATAATAAACAGTCTATTTTATTTTGAGTCAATTCCTTAAGAATCAATAAAAAACCGTTTATTTTAAGGATATTTTATAAATGTACACAAAATAATTTTTTTGAAAAGTAAATCTTTCTATGCTATTTAGATTCAAATCTTACAAGATAATAATCTACCGATTGCAAATTGATTAAGATAAATTTTGACAATTATTGTATTATCTTTGCGATCGTACGTGTATAGATTTACGATTCGTGCACCTAATTGAAGCAAATAAATGACCTGTTTCAAGTGTCCTCCGATCCAGTGGAAGATGTAGTCAACTTTATTAGGTCTTACGAGGAGCGTTACGGCAACACTCACCCAGTATTTTACCAGGGCTCCTATAGTCAAGCTCTTTCAGACGCGAAGCAAGAATTGAGATTTCTCTTGGTGTATTTGCACAAAGATGAGGCGCAGGAGGTTGACCAATGGTGCCGGTAAGAATTTTAGCAATTACTTATTTAACCTTCGGTTGCCACACTTGATAAAATGACCCCAGCTTTTTCTTTGGGTAATGAATTTTTTCAAAACTTTCCTTTAAGAATTTTTTTTCAATATGATGCCACTTCAATTTTAAATTCTATACAATCAGAACACATTCTACATTGTTTGAGAATTTTTGCGATCCAATTAAACTGTTAACGTTTTTAAACGGCAGCCTTTTAAAAATTGGTTTGACAAATTGACCCCAAATAAACTTGATTGAAAAAAAAAGATGTGACAACCGAGAAGGTTAATAAATAACACATATGCAAGATATTATAATATGATGAGAAACTCGGCTTTCTTCCAGAAATACATTGTGCGATCCAGAAGTGATACGTTATGTAAACACGCATACCTTGTTCTGGGCGTGTAACGTGAAATCCGGAGAGGGTTACAAAGTCGCGGAAGCGCTCAAGTCGGGTTCATATCCCTTCCTAGCACTTATCGTGCTTAAGGACAATAGAATGACAATAGTCGGTCGGTACGTAAAGGCTAATATCCGTACATGCATACTTTGAAGCAAACGTATTCAGGATGGGTACTACTGTGGGAAAACCTGGAATTCTCAGGGAATTTCATTTTTACCTTTGAAAATCATGGAATTCTCGTGGAATTTTACTGGTACTCGGGGCAATTTTTTGAATTTTACTTTTAAATTTAATTTTATCCCTTTAGAAAGTAAACGCGTGGTCCCATATCGAAGGTCCCTGATATTGAAAGTTAATTTATTTTAAAATTGACATATAGAAACTCTTCAATCTAAAAAACGATAATCCGGAAATAATAAATTAAGAGTCTAATAATGCAAAACTTGGTGCGTGAAACAATTTAATCTTCACATATGTAGTTACATCTCCATACAAAATGTAACGAAAGATTTTGTATGGAGATGTAACTATTGTACATATGAGAAGATTAAATTGTTTCACGCACCAAGTTCTACATGTTATTAAAACTCTTAGTGCCTAACTTATTTTAACCCTTTGAAGCACACATTTTTCTTTACATGGAAAACAGTTGAAATTTATTACTCGGGGGTTTTCGGGGTCGCTGATTACGTATATGACCTCAGATT